GGGGGGTGGAGAGATAGCTCAGTGGATAAGAGCACTGTCTGCTTCTCCTAGAGGTCCTGAGTTCAGTTCCCAACAACCACAAGGTGGCTCACAACCACCTGATACCCTCTTCAGATAGAACAGATAGGATACTCATATATAAAATAAATTAAATCATACATATAGATATATTTATATGGTGTACACCACCATTGCCGGCTCGAAACTTTTGGTTTTTAGACAGGGTCTCACTATGTAACCCCAGCTGGCTTGGAATTTGCTCTGTAGACCACATTGGTCTTGAACTCAGAAGGATCAGCCTGCCTCTGCCTCCTGAGTGCTGGGATTAAACAGGTGCATCATCATGTCCAGCATGACTGTATGTGTAAAGCGGTTTAGAAACATCTACAGCTGATCTATGAAACTTGAGTTTAGAACTCAGGCCAATGCATTATCCAGCTTAGAAACATGAGGACCTCAAGGTACAAGTGATAAAAACTTTCCTGTGGTCATACAACAACAGAGTCCTAGACCTGAAAACAAAACCAAACAACCAACCAAAAACCCTCAAAAGATAACATGGTATAACTACAGCTGTCTATGAAAAGGAACAATGGTGAGGTGGGTGGGCAAAGGAAGAGTAAGTCCCCAGGGAATGGGGCACATTGTCTTCATTAACTCCTGGAAGATGGCAACCAGCATTCAGTCCCATCCTGTGGCTTTTGGTCATACCTTAGCAATGTTTCTAGGTTTTTGACCATAAATGTCAGGCAGGCTTGAATTGCGAAGTCTTTTCTTAACCTTTCCTCTCTGGACTGACACACCTCCTCCCCATTTTCTAATTGGAAACTTCTGGAGGTTTGAAGACAGACAAACAATGGACTGACCGCAAAGCCAACTGGGAACATCCATCTGGATGCGGAAGGAAGAAAGAGGTGGAGGGAGGAACACAGGGAACTCTCTCATTCTCTTGAGCTTGGGGGTTCTCTGTTCTCCCCTATCACCCTCTTTGCCTGGCTGATTCTCCCACTGCAGAGAGGGAACTGAAAGAGGCAGTGACAAACCAGGTGTTGGGTAGAGAGAAGCACACTGAGTGGCCAACCTTCAGGCCAGCCTAAGAGGAGGATGTATTCTGTACCAAGAGCAGCTGAACGCAGAGAGACTGAACACTCAAGTTCAGTGCCTAGAACCTGCAGTGTTCCCCAAGGTTGCTCTGCACAGAGTACCTCTTATTTCTGACCTCCCAGGCCTTGAAAACCAAGACTCAGAGCATGAGCCCCACCCATGCCCACTGTCCTCTTCCCTGGTTTCAGTGTGAGCCAACTTCAGGAAGACTGGAAATGACTACTGTCCCAGCAAGGTTCAATCGGGAGTCTCCCTCCATTGCCTCCTACTCCCAACTTAATTAGAGAATGAGCCCACTTTGGTGTCCACTTTGATGAAACGGAGAGATGGGCAGGGAGCAGATGCTACGTCTCAATTCTAAAGGCTATTGCTCCTTTGAGGAGCAGCAGCCCCACTGACCGCCATGTTCCCCGGCATTTTCACTTGTGTTAGTGGGAAACTTGCTTGCTTATTCTTGGGCTTTTGTTTGGACATTCTGCCTCTTTAGCGGGCCTCAGAAAGGCATCCACAGGCAAGACAGTGTATGTTCTGATGGTGCTAGGAAAGCTGACCTTTCTACAAGAGCTGTTGGTTGTGGGCCTTTAGTTTAGACAGAGAGAAGTGTCTCAGCCTCCCAACCATCCTTGTGGTTCTGGTTGGACTCTACCCACTTCAGGCCTTGGTTTTGTGGCAATGAATCCTTTTTTGTCTTAATATAATCATACACTTGCTTGAAAGGCCACTTGAGACTGGACATGGTAGCATACACCTGTAATCCCAGAATCTGGGAAGTAGAGACAGGAAGATCAGAAGTTCAAGGTCACCCTTTGCTATATAGCATTTTAGTAGCCAGCTACAGCTAGCTATAAGAGACTCTGGAGAGCGGGGTGGGTAGGTATATAGTTGTTAGTAAAATGCTTGCCTAGCATGAATGAGGCCCTGGGTTCCTGAATAAAGCTGCCTATGTGGTGGTGAGCCCTGTAAACTAAGCATTTAGGAGGTAGAGGAAGATTAGAAATTCAAGGTCATCTTTGGCTAACTCTGGAAATTGAAAAACTTCTTGGACTACCTAAAACCTAGCCTCAAAAAAATGAAATGGAAAGTGTTGTTGTTCCTTTAAAGAAAGGGAAAAGGAAGGAAGCTCCCTTGCCTTAATTGTTGGCAGATTATAGTCCAACCCTGGGTATAGGGACCAAGCCCATCTACGATCTCTTGGTTCCAAGAGTGGGGTTTTGGGATTATTTGTTGTTTGTTTTTTGTTTTTTCAAGACAGGGTTTCTTTACAGCCCTGGCTATCCTGGAACTTGCTCTGTAGACCAGTCTGGTCTCAAACTCAGAGATCTGCCTGCCCTGGGATCAAAGGCATGCGCCACCGGCTAGCTGAGTGTTTTAATTTTTAAGAATGCATTACAGGATGGCTCAATGGTTAAGAGTACCTTTTGCTCTTCCAGAAGACCCGAATCCTTTTCCTAGCACCTACACAGTGATTTATACTCAAGTCCCTAACTCAAGTTCTAGAAAATCTGACACCTTCTTCCGACGCCCCCCCAGGCATGTACATGATGCACATACAAAGGCAAAACACTCAAATAATGCCAGGTACGGTAGCAAACGACTTTAATCCCATCACCCTGGATACGGAGGCAGCAAATCTCGCCCGAGCCCATCCTACTCAAGTGCTAACTCGGAGGGACCCTGTCTCAAACAAACAAACAAACAAAATTTACTACTCTTATTTATCTGAAACTACTTTTAAAAATTAAGAGTATTGGAGCCAGGTACAGTGGTGCACACCTATAATTTCAACATTCGGGGAGGCAGAGGCAAGCAGATCTCTTATGAGTTCAAGGCCAACCTGGTCTACAAAGTGAGTCAAGACTACACAGAAAAACCTTGTCTTGAAAAAAAAAAAAAAACAACAAAACAAACCAGTAATAATAATAATAATTTCTCAGGAAGCAGAAGCATGCAGATCTCTGTGGGTTCAAAGTCAGCCTGGTCTACTAGTGAGTTCGAGGTCAGCCAGGACTACATAGAAAGACCCTGTCTCAAAAGACTGAGAGAAGTAGCCCTGTGTGTGAGCTGTCATCAGTACTAGGTGCTCAAAGGAGCTGAGATCTATACTACAGCTCTCCTGGGCCTTAGTAAACACCAGAGACAAGGAGAACGGTATAGGATAAGGGCCTGGAACTGGGTCACAGAGACACTTCTGAATCTGGGATGTCCCCATCCCCACGGCAAGGGTTAGCTTCTATTCCTTATGAAGTCCTGGGCATGGCTGTGTGTGCCTGAATGATGTGTGTGTGTAATTATATACATCTATGCACTTGTGTGTACGTGCGTGTCTTTGGCTCACATCCAGTACACTTATACATCACTTGCAAGTTGTATGATCCAGATCCTTAAGCTAGCCTCTATACAGTAGCTCAAGTATCCTTTGGAAGGAATGGCCAGGGACAGGGCCGACCAAATATCTCTTGTGATGTTCCAGAACCTTTCTCCTCCCACTATTCAGCAGCTAGCAGAATTGTACTATAGGGGACAGCCTGAGGAGCTTGGCTGAAAGGAAAGAGAGAGGAAAGACCAGGGGTGGAGGTTAGCGGTAGAGAGCTTGCCTCTACTGATCTGTGAGGTTGGAAGTAGCTCCTTTGACAGAAAAACAGCCCTAGTGGGTCCTGTCATTGTCTCTGCTTCCCAGAGCGTACCCTCACTCCTTTCTGACACTCTCCTCTAGCCGATGCTCACACAACAGAACACCTGGTTGTGAGAGCAAGCACCTGATGTTTCAGGCCAGGGCCCAGAACTGGACTCAGGCTCTAGCAGTCTGGCTACGGCTGAGAACAGGTTCAGGTGGCTGGTGGTGCCTGAAGCGCTGATAGCCAGCGCCCTGGGAGAGTCAGCTGTGGAATGCTGGCCATGTGGACCTGAAGGAATTAACTCAGTGCCCCTGGGTCTCAGCCCAGACTGTCATGTGACCACCTCCCACAAGCTCCCCTACCCCGAAATTCTTGTCTTCCTGGAGTCTTCGGCTTGGAACACTATTGGTCTTGGATCAGAGTTGATGGCAGCTGATCACTCCTTGGGGGAGTTGCCAGGCTCATTCCCAGTGAGGTTGGGGTGAGGTTTTGGAAATAGAGTTACAGGAGGACAGAGGCAGGTGTCTGAGAACATCTCCAAAGTAGATGAAGGGGGGTGATAGGCAGTTAAAAAAGAAGCAGCAGGAGGGTAGAAGGGTCCACCTCTTCACCTGGGGTTAACCAACTTGTCCAGGCCCCCTGCTAGGAAGCAGCTTCTTTGGTTCCAGGCCTGTCCTGGCCAGCTGGGCCTCCAGACCACCTCTGTGGTCTGTGTCTGTGAAAGAGGCCTGAGTGAGACAAAGCCAGCCCCAGGGCAGGAAGCCAGTACCAACCACTCCTAGACAGCCTCAGGGATCAGCCCCTTAGTCTTGTGACTTCCACCTGTCCTCAGACTCTACCCATCCTGTGCAGGCAGAAGTAGGGGTGAGAATGTTTCTGCACACCTCTGGCTTCTGCCTCTAGCAATCTGGGGCAAGAGGGCTGTGCAGGCAGCCTCCACCTTTTCCTTCTTTGTTCTGTATGGTCCCTTGAAACTGGGAACCAGCATAGTCAGGACCTGTGGTTTCAAAGTCCCTTCAATTCCTGTCCCACCTTCTGCTGAGGTCTTTTCCCAGGCTCTCTCTTTCCACGCTGCAGTTGATGGCCTGGAACAGGGCTGGGCTCCCTTAAGATGGCAGAGGTGGGCCTCTGAGCAGACGGTGAGACGACAGTGCTCAACCCTGACAGTTGCTTCTGGATGAAATGTTGCTCTAGTCCCCTCCCTCCCTTCCTTGCTTCCAACCTTCGTCAAGGGGCCATCTTGCAACCAACAAATACTTGTTGGTTGGTGTCTGAATTCAAGTTCTGGCTCTGCTGTCAGCTCTGGGGCAAGCTACAGATATCTTTGGGTCCTTAGTTGGGAGAATAAAGTAAAGTTGGGGCTCATTGCCAGTCTAGGATCCCAGCAGCAATGGTTAGCCATGACTTTGTTTATGTTTGTGTGTGTGTTGGAGGGTGGGAATAAGGGTGGGAGGTCAGCAATAGGAGAAATTACTCAGTGGATTAGAGCCCTTCCTGCTCTTGCAGAGGAAAGGGTTTAGTTTTCAAGTACCAGGAATGGTGGCTCACAGCCAATCTGCAACTCCAGGTCCAGGGGTTCAGATGCCGCCTTCTGGCCTCTTTAAGCACTGCAAGCATGTGGTACACATACTTACAGGCAGGCAAAATATTCCTATACATAAATAAAGGGAAGCTAGAGTGATGGTGTACACCTTTAATCCCAGCACTCTGGAGAGAGAGAGACAGGTGGATTTTTTTTTTTTCTTTTAGTTTGAGGCCAGCTTGGTCTACATAGTTCGTTCCAGGGCAGCCGAAATTACATAGGGAGATTCTGTCTCAAACAAAAACAAAAAGAAAAACAAACAAAGCAAAAAGAAAGGCAGATAGAAAGAAAGAAGGACGGAAGGAAAGAAAGGCAGACAGAAAGGAAGAAAGAAGAAAGAAAGATGTTAACACGTGGTATAGTATAAGCCTTTAGTTTCAGGACTCAGGAGGTGGAGGTATGCAGCCCTGGTCTACATAGCGAGTTCCAGGCCAGCCAGGGCTGCATTGTGAGACACTGACTCAACACAAACAAACAAATACGTAATTTCATTGAAAATCAGCGATCAGGTGGTGGAGCCAGGGGGAGGAAGACAGGGGAAGAAGGCCCTCCTCTCTCTCTCGCTGTATCATTGCCCTGTCTGCGCCCTTTTCAGTGGGCCAACGCTGTCACCACAGACTTTCGGGGAATTCGGGTTCCACATGTGACCTGGAAGAGCAAAGGGAGGAGAAGGCATGAGGCCCTGTGCACTCTTGAGAGGGTTGACTCCCTAATCCGTTCTCTCTGACCCTAGAAGCCAAGCCCACTTGACTTGGTCTGGGCTACATGATTTCCCAAGCAAGGAGCAGTCTGGGAACACTAAGTTCCAGGAAGAACTGGCTTCGTGGGTGTGGGTTCCGTGGTCACATACCCACATCCGAATGGACAGTTTAAAGTTTTGATGACTTTTTTTTTTTTTTTTTTTTTTTTTTGCTTACGGTAGGCAAGTGCCCTACCAGTAAGCCCTGTCCCCAGCCATCTTTTATGCCTTGAACATTTTATATTACTTTATATTTCGGAGACAGAGTCTCACTATATAGCCCAGGCTGGCCTCAAACTCATTGTCCTCCTGCCCCAGCCTCCAGGCTGCTAGAATTATAGACATGCCCACTATGCCTGGTCCAGCTTTGTTTTTATTGTTTTTTAAAAAAATATATTAAAAATATGTATTTATTGGGCTGGAGAGATGGCTCAGAGGTTAAGAACACTGACTCAACAGCGTTCAGCCTCAACCTACAGATCCTGAGTTCAATTCCCAGCAACCACATGGTGGCTCACAACTATCTGTAGTGAGATCTGGTACGCAGGCAGAATGTTGTATAAATAATAAATAAATAAATTTTAAAAAAATATGTATTTATTTTATGAGCTGGGCATGGTGGTGCCTACCTGTAATCCCAGCACTCAGGGAGGCAGAGGCAGGGGGCTCTCTGTCAGTTGGAGGCCAGCCTGATCTACAAAGTAAGTCCAGGATAGCCAAGGCTACACAGAAAAACCCTGTCTCAAAAAAAAACCAAACATATTTGTATGTATATCCTTCATATGGGATCTCTAGCTGACCTATAGGGCTGATCTTTACCTCCCTATGAAACTGAGGATAACCCTGAATTTCTAATCTACCTTTCCCTACCTCCTTGGAGCTGGGATTATAAAGATGCCCCACCTCACCCTGTTTATGCGGTGCTAGGGCTGGAGCCTCAAGCCTCATTCATGCCAGACGCTCACTTTGCCAGCTGATCCATTCACTGTTTCTCAGCTTTCCTTCCTAACAGCCCAGCCCCTCCCTCCCCAGAAGGTCCCTGTCCAGGGTAGTGGAGGCAGACCACATGCTTCTTTTCTCTTGGCACTTCCTGTCCTCACCTCTATTCTAAGCCTTGACTTTCCCAGGATGGATGAAGGCCCCCAGAATCCTGATAGCCCAGAGGTCTTGGTGCCCATTCCGCTCTGCGTTTCAAGGGCAAATTCAAAGCAGAAACACCTGGACCTTAAAGTAAACACCGAGGTGGGCCAGCCAGGCACTGACCTCTCAAGCATGGCTGCGCCCTTGCTATTTTTGAAGCACTAACAGCTCCACCAGTTCCCAGCACCCACATCAGGTGGCTCACAACTGCCTGTAACTAACACCTCTGGCCTCTGAGGTCACCTGCACTCATGTGCACACAGCCACGCACACAGGCACACACATACACACACAATTAAAAATAAGCATCTAATTAAAAAAAAACAAATCAAAAGGCTCTGGTAACTCTTTTCTGCCAGTACCATACATCTATGCTTGCTCCACCTCCTGAGTAGCCTGGCCTTGTCTGCCCTCTCTCTAGTGCCAGAGGCTGGCCTGAAATACCAGGGCATTGGGCCACTCGGCCCATGATACAAGGAGGCCCTGGGCCAATCAGCCTCTGCTGGGGAGATTACGTCAGAAAAGCCCAGAAGGTTCGGCGGATTGCACCCCACCCGACAAGAACAGCCAGGGCCAGCCTAGTGTGTGTGTGTGAGGGGAGGAGGCAGGAGTTGTCCTAGCCCTCCATCTGGCAAGGCCAAGCCTGCTGCCCTTTACCCGCTGGCCAGCCTCACCCCCCCTCCCCGCCCCTGCCCTGCCTAACCAAGCACTGCCCAGCTACTTACTCTTTAGGTGGGGGAGGGAAGCAAAAAAGCTGCCACAAACTGGCTCTTCCAGATCCTGCCTGTAAACTCAGGTTAAAAATAAAACCACGTGTCCAGGAAGGAGAGGGGAGGGTGGAGGCGGGAGCCCGCTTGAGGCTAGAACAAGCAGGAAGAACAGGCCTCCCAGGGCATGGTGGTAGTAGTGGACCCCAGAGGAAAAAGGCAGATGGGACCATCCTGGAGAAGTCCAGCAGGAGACACCTCTCTCAGCGCACTTCAACGGATCTGTGAGAAAGCCACTCAAGAAAGCGTGACCTTGTCTGAAAGGTCACTGTCAGGAGCAATCGCACTTGGATTGGAGCCTTCTTGGCTTTTTTCCCTCGGGCCTCCTCCTGGTGTGGTTTCCTGCTGTGGTATCTTCCCCTGTAATGATCCCCACCAGGGTGGAACATCCCTCCAGTCCCTCTGTCCTTGCTAGCTTCCATGGAGAGGCTCTAGCTCCCTGGGTAATCAGCACTGAGTACCATGCATCCATCCATAACAGGCCAAAGGCAGGAGGGTAGATGTTATCTGGGGGGGAAAAAACCACCCACCCTTGAGGAGAAGGGAAGGAATGTGTGTGCCCAGCATTCCTCCTCATGCTGGTTGCAGCTCACCCAGGCTGCTAACCTCAGGGCAGTCCTCACTAAGAACATCTGGCCTGAGAAACATACGCAATGTTGGAACCATCCTTGAACTGAAAGCCGTTGAGCAAAGGCTGGGACCCTCCTCCTGCCCAGCTCTGGGGTCATTTAATCCTCACAAAAATCTCATAAATATATATGGGATGTTTCTCTGTATAGCCTGTCCTGGACTCGCTTTGTAGACCAGGCTGGCCTGGAACTCACAGAGATCCACCTGCCTCTACCTTCCCGAGTGCTGGGATTTCATGTGTATGACACCCAGCCCAGCTTTAAAAAAAAAAAAAAAAAATTTCAAAGATGTATATTTATTAAATTTAATTATGTGTAAGTGTGTGGCTGGTGCCTGTGGAGGCCAGGGGTGTCAGATCCCTTGAAGCTGGAGTTACAAATAGTTGTGAGCCACTCTATGGGTGCTAGGAATTAAACTCTGTTCCTCTGGAAGAACAGCCAGTGCTCTTAGCCACAGAGCCATCTCTCCAGGCTCCTCTTTTTTTTCTTTTGTAATGTGGCCATGAAACCTAGGGAATCATGCCTACCAAGCCTAACCTCAAACCTCAAAGGGCTTTCTACCTGATGGCCTAGGCTCTTAATTGCTGCACAGTCTAGAACTCATCTGCCAGGTCCCATCTGATGACTTCTCATCTCTGTTGTCCAGCCATCTCCAGAGTCCTTCCTCTGTCCCTCATCCTCTTGGCCATCAGTCTTGGCCAGGAGGTTCAGGTAGAACTGTCTAGCAGCTTCCTGGGAAGGGCAAGGCTATGGTTGGGGTCACCTGAAAGCCGGGATGGATGGGAGGGGTCTCAACAAAAACAGCTGACTGGGAGAAGGCCGAGTGGGGGATGATGTGGACCTGTCCTCCTCTTGGTGAGTTTAGGTGACTGACATGGCCCCTTCTTGCACCGTTTAAAATTTGAATTTTATCACCACTGCACCCGGAACTAGCTTGCGTGCCTCCTCCCTAGGCAAATGCTCCCAGAAAAGATTGTGAGGTAGAGGTGGGTTGGGGGGGGGGGGTGGAATGTGGTGAATGGAACAAGGTTCACATTTCCTCTGCACTGATGACCTTGGGTAAGTCTCTCTGGCTTCAGTTTCTTCTCAGTCAAGTAGGAAGAGCAGTGACTCCTTTGAAGCTTTGTGAAGGGACCAAATGGGGCAACTAGTGGATCGGTCTAGAGCGGAATGCTCTCCACAGCTATGAACTGGGAAAACCCATGCTGTTGTCATCATTGTCATCTTCCCCCCCCCCACCCCCCAGAGTTTCTCTGTGTAGCTCTGGCTGTACTGGGACTCACTTTGTAGACCATCCTGGCCTTGAACTCACAGAGATTAACTTGCCTTTGCCTCGTGACTGCTGGGATTGTAGGCATAGGCCACCATGCCCTGCTTTCTGTTTTTTGAGACAGAGTTTCTCTCTAGCTCTGGCTGTCCTAGAGCTCATTCTGTAGATCAGGCTGGCTTCGAACTCATAGAGATCTGCCTGCCTCTGCGCTCCGGGAGTGCTGGGATCACAGGTGTACACTACTACCACACCCAACCCTGCTGTTATCTTCTTAAAGGAAAAACCTACCAGCTTCACACAGTGTCCAGTGCCTGACTGTGCTCATGTGCACATCCCTACCCACATAGACACCCACCGATCCATACACATAAATAAAAATAAAACTTAAAGAAAGAAAGAAAAAGAATCAATAGAGTTAGTGACAGTGGAGTTGGGGGTAGAGACGTCTGAGACCCACAAGGAAATAAAGGGCCCTTCCAGTTGCCTCCTGGGTTTGGGTTTGCTTTACTGTGCTGGCCCTGTGCCTGCAAGAGGGAGCTGGGGTTATCCTTTGCCTGAGGGTTTACTGCATTCCTGTTCCTCCCCTCAGGCAGAGCCTGGAGTAGCCAGGAGCTAACTAGCTAGCAGACACCAGTTCTTTTACCCTGGGGTCCTCAAAGGAGAAGGGACTCCCTTCCACCCTGGAAGACCTTTGATCCAGTCAGCATGGGAGACTGAGGGGAGTCAGAAGTCTGCACCTAATATAGCCAGGGGTTCCATGCAGGGTAGAGAGGGACCCCTCAACCCTCAGCAGTGCACACAGACAAGACAAATGGCTTGGGTGAAATCCCAGTCTGGTTGTGACTGGTCATCAAAACCTAGAACTGTCCTTACCAAACAGGAATGTCCAGCCCCCTGAACAGAAGAAGCTTACCCCTGGGTTACAGGAGAGGAATGAGGAAATACAACCAGGCTCACGGTCACACTGCACAGACTATCCTTGAGCTGCTAGGCCATGGTGGTTAATTATCATTTATTCAGCATCCAGAAAATGGCCATCAGTAAGCCCAAATCCCTACTCAATGTCATGCTCAACTCTAGTGAGGGAGTAAAAGTCTAGAAATATGCAACTTGGTAATGGGTGGGGAGGTGAGTGAGGGGAGGAAGCTGCTTCAGTCTGTCCAATTTGGCCTGGGGTTTTGATGAGTGAGTAGGAGCTCACTGAGCAGGAACAGGAAAATTCCGGGCTAGATTATCTAACTGGCTGAAGACAAGGAACTGCTCCTGCACAAAATTTATGAGTGGTGGGAGGGGATCTAAGGTGACAAACAGCATGACTCAGAAATGAGGCCATTCTGGACCTGATGATATGAAAATTTGGCTTCTGCCCTACTGGTCAGATGTCCAGCTTTTCCTTCGGCTGGATGGGAAGAAAACCTGACCCAAATCACATTTCTGTCTTTGACTGAGTCATCCAGTGTCTTGGTAGCTGGGAACCCCTGAGGGGGAGGGTGGACACAGTCCATAGCCTGAGTGCCTCGTCCACCCCCACTCCTTACAGCAGAAAGGCCATCTCCAACCTTCTGGGCCTGCATCATTGGTCCTGGCACCTTCATTCCTTTCTCCAGTTGGAGGTGCCTAACCAAGGCCAGGACCTACCATTATCTGTACTTCTGTCTTGGTTCAAACCCGGGTCCCTTCCCAGTCACCCAGGTCCCGACATGCTGATCATGCCTGTAGCTCTCTTAGGGTCTCTCGGGTCAGGGCCTCTGAATGGCTGAGTCCATCAGGCTAGCTGGCACAGCTATGGAGGCTAACCTACACAATCCCAGTTCACCATTCCTGCAGTGGAGTGGGGTCATGAATGGTCGATACCTTAGCTTTGTCACCTGGTTGTCGGCAGCCCTCAGCCTTCCTCAGTACCTTCCTGCTCCCTGTAGCAAGGCAGAAACCGCTGGAAGAAGTAAGGACATTTCAATGCCCCTGCCTCAGGCCTGAACTCAGTGTGGATGCTATTGGCTGGTTTTGGATCAGACAGGGGCTAAGGCAGAGGCTCATCTCAGGTGTGAATGCACAGGGCAGGAGAGGGACCTAATGTCGGTTGACTTGGTGACTTCATTTTGGTCTTCTACAGGGAAATCTCAGTGAATCTGTACATTGTGCCTGCACTGTCCCAAGCCTTCATTAATTCATTAATGCACAGGCACGTTTGTGACTCCCATGTGCGATATGCCCTGTATTCTTTTTTTTTTTTTTTTAAGATAGAGTCCCTCTAACCAGGCATGGTGGCACACACCTGTAACCCCAAGCACTCGAGGAGGCAAAGGCAAGTGGAACTCTGTGAGTTCGAGGCCAGCCTGACCTACAAAGCCCGTCCAGGACAGTCAAGGCTACAGAGAGAAACCCTGTCTCGAAAACAAAACAAAACAAAACAAAACAAAACAAAAGATATTGTGTGTATATCCTTGGCTGTCCTGGAAATTGCTATGTAGACCAGGCTGGCTTCAAACTTACCTGCTTCTTCCTTCTGAGTGCTGGGGTTGAGGGTGTATAACAGCACCAAAACACCACCTTTAATCTCAGTACTAGGTGGCAGAGGCAGGTGGATCTCTGTGAGCCTAAGGCTAGCCTGGACTACGTAGCAAATTCCAAGACAGCCAAGGCTACACAGAGAGATCCTGTCTTTTTGGTTTTTTTTTTTTGTTAAATGTATAAGCCTATGCTAATACGATTTTCCTGTCCTCTGGCATAAGTTCATGTACACAGATGACTGTGACTGTGCAGGTAGAAGCGATTGGCAGTCCTCTGTAGGGCTAGGCTGTGGTCAGGTGGGCTGCTTTCTCATCAAGCAAGGCCTCTGTGAACCCAGGGACTGAGGACAGGGGAAGCAGACCACTTAGAGTGTCTGATGTGCCCCAGTGCTGGGATGCTACCACATGACACCGAGCTGTGGAGGCAGGAGGGGTCAGCCACCCAGACCTGCACAGGGCCGTCCAGCTGTTCCTGCTCACAGCTGACAGCGGCTTCTGTGGCCTGCCATGTCTGTGCCTGCGTAACCCAGGGACACCTGTCTTTCCCTGCCAAGTGCCACAAAGCAGTCTCCCCCCGGGGAAGGGATGGTCGCAGGGTTCTTGCAGGCAAAGCGAGAGATGAATGTGAGCTGACATCTCCCCCAGCAACTGGCAAAGGGCTGACGTGCACGGCCAAGGACCAGCCTGGGAAATAATGTGCCAGGACCTTCATTGACGGAGCAAAAAAACCGGAGAGAAGGATGGGTCGGGGAGGGAGGAAGGACAGGGCTGTGGGGGGAGTGTCTTGAGGAGGAAGCAAAT